AGTAACTTAAAAAAGTGGGGTGCCCGCTTTTGGCCCCCCCAAAAAAAAAAGAAAAAGGAAAAAAAAAAAAAAAAAAAAAAAAAAAAAGGTAAAAAAGCTACACTGTTTGGAATGATAGATGCTCACTTATATATAATAATAATAATTAATAATAATAAAAAGTCACTTGGTCAGAGTTTTGTGCTGGCCTGCCAACACCAACCAAAAGCTGAAAATGTCAGATGATAGCACCATACATCTTTTAGAGAGATCTCCGCAAAATGTTTGCTATTCTGTTTTAAGTTTGTTTCCTAAAATGTTCTCTTGAAGATTGTCTAACATTAGGCAAGACATGAGAGATGGAAAATTGTATCTGTTTTCAGCTACTTGCTAGGAAACATTACATTTCTCCATGGTAACTAGCAAGGCTTTGAGTGCTGTCTAGTGAGAGCGAGGCTCTTGTTTTCAGACTGATCATTGGAGCACCATGTACTGTAGTTAAAAAAATCTTCCCTGTGTTTTTAAAGAGCACCATACAAAATCCCCAGTGGAGGAACTTGTAGCAACATTCTGCATTGCTATATGAACAGACCATGTGGCAAAACCTAGTTTTAAGGAGTTCCTTTTGTTCACTGCATAATGTATGTTCTCTTGAAGCTTCTACAGCTCTGTTTTTCCCCCTCCCCATAAAGGGTCCTTCTACCTAAATGGTTTCACCTCCTGGAGACACGTTCGTTCCCACGATCCCGAGCACTGTGACCGTGCTGGCGGCAGGTTCGGCAGCACTGCACGTTGACAGTTGGAAGATGGCATCTTCCCAGAATCCTTAGGGTTTGACAAAAACTGAACGTGAGGCGGTCCCGCTCACAGATGAAGGCTGAAGGAGAGAGAATGAAGAGACAGAAATAACATTACCATGAATACAAGGTTTGATGCAAAAGTCTGTATTCGGCTGACAGTAAAGTAAATATAGGAACAAAGACCAGTGCAGCCCTGGAAAGCGGGGTCCTCTTTTCCCCTAGGGCTGAATGTTCATATTTGTTCCCATCTAATCTAAGTGCCAATGGAAACTCACCCATCGCAGATAAGACCTGTGACATCACCTTAGCAAAATCAAGCAATTAGAATTATTGTATTTATTCATTATTTATCAGTCATGGGGCCACAAAGCTTGAGTAGCAGGATTTGCATAGATGGGGGCGGGGCTCTGTGCTGACATCAAAGGGACAGAATCCTCCCCCACAGCGACTTCATGGGATAACGCTGCCTGTCTTTGGGATGCTAAAAGGCACTGGGGTGGCTAAGTTTTGTCATGTGTCAAGTTCACAGCAGGCTCTTTAATCAGATATGTATTGCTGCGATTCCACTGAAGTCAGTTGGAGTCGATGTCATTCAGCTCCTTGCAGAGATTAATTCGTTAATGTCTGGAAACGGCTTTGAAGTCTTAAGTGCTATATAAATGCAAATTATTATTATTAGTGGGACTCATGGCAGGTCTGTACCAATGATTTTATCTGCCTGGATCTGTCCCTTAACTGTTCTCCATCTTCATTTCCAAATCAGTGAATGATATGATAAAGGTTGATCATATCATAAGTATGTGGCACAGTGCAGCATTGTGGATGCCAATCATTCACCTTGCTATTGGAATTCAGAGGAATGCTTCCAGGTGACTTCTGGGTATGAATGCTCCATCCCCAGAGTCTGTATGGCACATAATTTTCACAGGAGTGTTGAGTTCTTTTACATTCTTACAAGAGCACCATGAACTAACTGGATGGCTTTTAATCAGAATAACATCAGCTTTTTGGCTATGGTTTAAGATACTGTCCATTATGGATTACCGCATCACAACAGCATTCCTTTACAATACAGTTACAAAACCCCGCTGGTCTAACTATGATCTGCCTCTAATCCTCCCATCTAATTTAAAACCATCAGTGTTCTCCAAATCTTGTCTGAGTCACGGGTCAGCTGTTAATAAATGCAAACAATGTCCCCTCTTGAGTTTGTACGCTAATACTCTTCCTGTCTCAGTGGGAACATTAGATTGATTCCTGTGCAGAATAAATCAGCGCAGTGAGCAAGGTAAGCTGTGAGTTCACGTCATACTCACCAGATTAATGCTCCTCTCACTGATCTGAAATATTCCAAGCTGTCATGAAACTTTAACTAGCAATAGGCAAACCTCAAATGGCTCAGCACTCTGGTTTTCCACTCCCGCACGTCCTTTTCCCTCATGGCCCTGCCCACTCTGCTTCTCTTCCCACCTCCGTTCCACCTCTTCCCCCGAGGCCCCCCCTTGCTCTGCCTCTTCCTGCAAGGATCCCCCCCACCTGCTGCTCACACCTCTTTGCCGCCTCCCCCCAGGCTCCCCCCACCCGCTGAGGAGCGGCAGGTGGAGGAGGTCTCAAAGGAGGGGGCAGAGCGGCGCTAGCGGCAGGGGACTTGGGGGAGGGGGCCAAGTGGGAGTGGGGTCTGGGGTGGAATGGGGATAGAGTGTGGGCAGGGCCTCAGGGGAGGAGGCAGAGCAGGGGGCAATGCCACAGTCTGGGCGCCAGTGGGCTGCCCCACTTCTAGGGAGCTTCCGGCACTCACACCCAGCTTCCCCAAATGCAGGAGTCATGTGCCGCCCATGTACACGGCTACGTTAAACACCATTAAATCACATCACCTCTGTCTAGTTCGACTCCCCCCTGTAATCTATAGGAATGATTACAGTAAATTGTGACTCCTTCTTAAAAGGACAATTTAGATCCTTCCCAAAGTCTATTTCTGATGGGTGGTGGTGGTAATCTGCTAATTCGCTCTGTATTGTCTACTCTTGGGCAACACCCTCTTATAGACTCATAGACTTTAAGGTCAGAAGGAACCATCATGATCATCTAGTTTGATCTCCTGCACATCACAGGCCACAGAATTTCACCCACCCACTCCAAAGGAGACCGAATTGTATACATTCTTCCAGATGAGGTCTCACCAGTTCCTTGTATACTGGTACTAATACTTCCCTGTCTCTACTGGAAATACTTCGACTGATGCATCCTAGGATTGCATTAGCCTTTTTCACAGACGTATCACATTGGCGGCTCATGTGATCAACCCAGGTCTTTCTCCTCCTCTGCCTCTTCCAACTGATACCTCCCGAGCTTATACCAAAATTCTTGTTAGTCCCTAGATGCATAACTTTTCACTTTTCACTATTAAATATCCCATTTCTATTACTCGAGTTTACAAGGTCTGCCAGATCTTCTTGTATGATATTCTGGTCCTCCTCCATATTGGCAATACCACCCAACTTTGTATCATCCGCAAATTTTATTAGCATGCTCCCACTTTATGAACCAAGGTCAGTAATAAAAATGTTAAATGACATTGGTCCCGAGACTGATCCCTGAGGAACTCCACTAGTAACTGTCCTCCATCCTGCAGAATTAAACACTTGGACAAGTCTCATAGACTCAGAAGTGGTATGATTACTAAACACAAATCTACTGTTATTTACACTGTTCGCGATAGTAAATTTAGGCTATTTGGTACTGAGCTGGAGGGACACTGATCATTGACCATCACTTCATGTTGCCTCAGCTCAAGGGACAAAAAGGTTTTGTTTAGGGAAAGGCCAATGCCTTGCTCCCAAGAGAGAGAGAATTTGATCGTCGGTTGTTAATGGAAAGAATGTTGTGCAATGTGGAACGCAGAGACTGTTGCGCCCATTTCAGATTCCACACTTGGCCTCCCAGCCGCTCACTAACAAAGCCAATCTGCTTTTTAAACGAATTTCCTATTTCAGTGGAGATCTTTCCTCTCCCTCAGCTATTCCTGCTTGGCAATAATTGTTTGGGGCTTGAAAAGCTTGTTTACAATAGACTAAGCCCCTAAATGCCAGCCATTGTCCATTAATTCATTGTGCTGGCTCACTGGTGAAAAGCTGTTTAAACACCCTACCTCTACTATCCTTCCCCGCAGGGCATCTACTTAAAGGGAGCCCCCACTAGCTAGAAGCTGCCTGCTTTGCATGGTTACAATTTCCAGCCCAGTCAGCAGAGTTGCGGAATCCATTCAAACTCCTTGAAAGCTGAGCTGTACTCAAATCACTGGCTGCTGGGGGAAGGGGGTTTTGAAAGCCCAGGCTGGGGTTTTCAGGAACTCCGCATCAGTGTGAGAGAACTGGCTCAAGATCTTAATGAGAAATCTGCTCCCTAGCTCGTTTCTATACGCAACGGGCCAGGTGGTGAGTGGTTCTTGCCTAGGTTTACAGGATACCCAGAGCTGTCCACTGCCCCCGTTCCAATCACCATGCACAGGCTAGCACTATAGTCCTGGTGGACCTGAGGGGCTGCTTTCTGCCTGTCCCCTGAAGTGGCCTGCACCTCGCTACAGGACCAGATGTCAGAGTGCGATGGCATTCGGCACCTGCCCATGCGCCCAGAGATTCTGTATCCCCCAGTCTGGCCCCTGAGCCATGGAGTGCCCTATCTGGCCTTAGCATTGCTTTAATGGGTTTGTTCAGTAGGTAATTTAAAATCGCGGCAGACATTGTAAGTGCAGCAGAACTGGTACTACAGGAGCCATCACAGGACACTTTCATACTGGCTCAATAGTCAGTAAGTGTTTTTTTTAGTAGACATCAGGTATTTTCATAGAGAACTACAGACATTTAAGAAAGTGGAGTAACTTCATTGTGCTTCTTCCGTGTTTATAGGTTCACAGACTTTATGGCCAGAAAGGACCATTATGACTATCTAGTCTGACCCCCAGCCCAGCACAGGCCGTAGAATTCCATCCTGTAAATTATGCATCAAGGCCTAACCTTCACTTGAGCTATAGCAAATCCTTCAGAAAGATATCGTGTCTGGATTTAAAGGCTTCAAGTCAGAGTCTTCACCTATCAAAGGGGTAGCCGTGTTAGTCTGGATCTGTAAAAGCAGCAAAGAGTCCTGTGGCACCTTATAGACTAACAGACGTATTGGAGCATGAGTTTTTGTGGGTGAATACCCACTTCGTCAGAGTCTTCACCATGTCCCTCAGTAAGTTGTTCCAATGGCTAATTATCCTCACTGTTATAAAATAAAATAAAATAAAAATTCCACCTTATTTCCCTTCTGAATTTGTCTAGCTGAAAATCCCAGGCATTAGAGCTTGGCTTCCCATTCTTAAACACAAAAAGAAGAACAGGAGGACTTGTGGCACCTTAGAGACTAACAAATTTATTAGAGCATAAGCTTTCGTGGACTACAGCCCACTTCTTCGGATGCATCTAATGGAAATTTCCAGAGGCCTCTTCCAGGTGCCACAGGACTCTTTGCTGCTTTTACAGATCCAGACTAACACGGCTACCCCTTTGATAGGGGGAGACTCTGACGTGAAGGCTTTTAATTCAGACACGATATCGTTCTG